GTGTGTAGGTCAGGAGCTTCGGGAGAACAGGTTTCTGGGAATTTTTTGGGGAAGTTTACATCATTATATAGAGAAGTTCGTTAGCTACGCGTAGGAAAAAACGGAACTCAATTCCGAGTTAAAACGAGCTCAAACGAAGCAAAACCGTAAAGCCACGCAGTGCAGCCAAGTTTCTTCACCGCGGTCCGCGGGAATACCTCCGCGGCCGCGGAGGCCGCGAACACAAAAACTACTGCAACTTTTTCCGCGGCCGCAGCGAACAAACTTCCAGGTTTTTTTTATGCATCCTTAGGCTCGAAAAATGAGGGGGAAGCGGGGGGGACCGAAAAATACACCCAAAAAACGGGTTTTGGGAGCTCCAAAAGGGGGACACTCCTCAATTTTACTTCTCATTCTCCTTCTCCATCTCCATCTCCATCTTCATTTTTTTCCTTCTTTCTTTCTTCTTCTCCTTCTTCTCTTCTTCTTCTTCTTCTTCTTCTTCTTCTTTTCTTTCTTCCTCATTTTTATCTTCTATTTCTATGAATTTTAGTTTTGTATGAAGATTCAACATTTGGATTGACTGTAAGTTTCTTTTCTTCTTGTTTAATTCATGAGAATGGTTGAATTGGAAGAAATGGTTTATTGTGTTGAATTTATTTTACTTAGCTAATTTCTATTGTTAGGGATGGGGAATGATTGTTCTTGTTTAATTCGTGATTGTTGGGCGTTAATTTGTTCGTTCTTGTGCGAGTTGATTGGATTAGGAATTGATAAATTCATGCTTGATAATTGATATAACCTAAGAGTGACACTTAGGTTAATTTGTTGATATAATCGAAGAGTGACACTTCGATTTTGCGATTTGAAATGATTGAATGTTGAATTGTTGAGTAGGGTTTGTTGATTCTAAATGGTTAATTGATTGATCACCTTCTAATTGAATTAGCGGCTTTGGAACCGATAGGGGAAAAGTCGTAGAACTAGGCTCGCACGAGGTAGACATGTTCGGAGACGTATTGTCTATAGGTTTTGGATTGAAGTACACGCTTGTCGATGTCCCTTCCCATGTTACGATGATTTATTGGGATTGGATTATTGGCCGGTGTTGTATGCTCGAACTTTCTCGTCTATGTTCAATCCCATGTTACGAAGAGTTATTGGGAGCGAACCGCTAGATGTTTAGGCGAGAGTATCAATCTTGAACCGAACGATTAATTGCCCGGCTTTGCGTCTCGAACTTGAATCAATCATCCCCGATTCCCTAGTATCTTTATCCTTGTGTCATTTATATTTTTAGGTAGATTTACGTTTTTATGTTATTTCTTTGTTTATAATTTTCCATCCCTATCTTGATTAGAATGTTTAGGATTTATTTTGTTTTTATGTGTTATCAACACCACTTCTAAATTTCGAATAGTCTTCCTCGAGAGATCGACCCGGGAAATGAATCATTCGATTCGGTGCTCGGTAAAAAGAAAATAATTTGTGCTACAACAGCGGGCGTGGAGGCACTCTCGATGGCGCGATGAGTTTCGCGTGCGCGCGGGCGGTAGCATGAAGGGATCTCGACCTCGCGGAATTGTGGGCGAGCACGCGGGCATAGCTGATGACAGCTCTCGACGTCACGGAAATGATGGCGGGCTCGCGAGCGTGGACTGGGGAGCAGTGGACGTGCGGCGTGGACACTCTCGAGCTCGCAGCTCTTCTCGCGAGCACGCGGGCGCGCGGGCGAACGGGGTAGCAGGCGCGCGAGACTCTCGACGGCGCGGGACTTTCCGCGTGGTCACGGTGTGGGCAGGACAAGCGTGCAGCATATGGCACTCGCGACCTCGCGACGACTGTGGCGGGCACGCGGGCGCTAGCCTGCAGGCGTGCTGGCGTGCGGGTGACGCTGAAACTCGACATAGTCAGATAAGTAATAACTCGTACGAAATGGCTAGTCTTGACCCGGAATTGACCTTGGGATGCTTGACTCGACTCTCCTCATTCCCCTTTTAAAATAATCCTGAAATTTACCGAAAATACGGAAAAGTACGCCAAAATATAAAATAAAACAAAAGATATAAAATCACACAAAATGCGACAAAATGGACCGGTCAACGCCAAAACGAACCTAAAACCGGCTCGAACACACATAACAACACATAAAAATAAGCACAAAAACATAACAAACATTTAGCCCATATTGGTAAGATGGCCGTAAATTCAAAAAAAAAATTATTTGGATTTAAACTTATTGAAATTAGATTTTAAGCCTAATATGTTATATGGGCTTTCAATCTAAATAAAGTTGGAATTAAATTTATTTTATTTCATAAACTTTAAATCCATATTTTTCTTGGGGTGGTGTTTTAACGTTGTTCAATCAATTAATAGAGAAATTCATGGTCACTTATATACATAAATTTGTGTGAAGTTGTTCATGTGGTATGTGCTCAGCCCATAGGTAGACACAACTCAATTGGTCTAGTAATTTTCGATCTACTTAATAAAAGCATCATGTTGCCAAAACAACCTCTGTGTGTGGAGAGCGACATTATTGAAATTACATAGATGTCGTGTTAAATTATTTGTGCGTTTTGTGATAAGCCCATAGGTAGACATAATTTGGCAAAATAGTAACACACATGTGATGAAAAGTATGTGATAATTAGTTGATTGTTCATGTGAACATTAGTCATTCCAAAGATAGACTTTTGCTTGACAGAGCTTATTATCAATGCTTGATCGTTATTACAACAAGATTACCACTGTAGTTAATTTTCTGCCCATAGACGAGATTAATATTTCCATATGATGTCTTGTCACGTGTCCATATCTGGTCTACTTACCCATATTTATGTATGACATAAATTTATGTGTGAGTACTTTAGTATTGTTCTCTAACTTTGTTATCTGCTTTAATTTTGTCATTATAGCTTTAATTTTATAAGTTTGTATGCTAATAGAACAATATTTGGTTATATTTGGACATATGGTTGATGGATTATGTAAAGGTTCTACTAAGGATATTTGATGAAATAATATATCTTTTGATTAATATTTCAATAAAATTAAATAGAACATAAGAGAGTACATTTTGAGATGTCTAAATCTCATATTCAATCTATAGGCTCTTTAATTGTGCATAAGGTACTTCTTTTGTTCTATGATGAAGAAAAATTAAATGAGAACAGCCTAATGTAAATTTATCCTTCATTAATCCACATTCTAAAGTTTGCTTCTCAATATTAGTTAGCTAGTTTAATTTTGTATCACTTAAGTATTTCATGAATAGTTTCTTCATTTGTTACTCATATAAAGCAACCAAATTCTTACGTGTATACATTTGGATTCCACATAATTTGGTTATTTGACAAATGAGTGAACTTGATTATTAACCCATTGAATGCAATCAAATGGTTTATAAAGTTTTGTTTGAGAACAAAAGAGAGTTTATACTCACATAAGGATTATTGGATCATTTGGGAGATCATTTGGAACTTTAATCTCGAGTTTATTGGATATTTGTAAAGTTGAACGATCAAAATTTAGTCAAGCTACATTAGCTGCTAGTTGGAAAAACTAATTCAGAAAGTGTCAAGCAAACACTTAAAGCTTATTCCTCTTTAGCAATTGAGATTTAACTTATCTGAAGGCATCTTATAAAGTTATGGTTGCATAATATTATCACTAGGTTGCGTGTTTCGGATGGTATTGAATACCACTAAAGTTCTATAGTGATAATATTAGTTTGTCATTTTTCAGCAACAAAAATTGTCATAAAGTTTCTTGTTGTTAAGGAGAAAATTCATGTTGATGAATTTTTTATTGAACATATGCTAGCAAATTTATAGCTCCATTATAAGGTATACAAGGTATTAACACGTGAAGTATTTTATGAGTATACCGGTCATATAAGTGTTACTATAGATATTGCCTTAGTTCAGTGGGAGTTGGTGTTCAATGTAGTCTTGAATGTTATCACTTCAGTTTTCTGCAAAATAAAGTTGATGGTTATGAATCACTAAAGTTTTCTATTATTGTGACTTTGTGTTGTATTTATGGATTGATCTCACAAAAGATTTAAATTTGGATCAGTTAGAAATAAACATGATAAAGATCACATTGCGTGTAATTACATGCCACTCACCATATTTGATGTATGTCATTGAGTGCACTAGTATGGTGATTTCTGGGGTTTAACCACGATTTGTAATGTGGTGAAAGCCACGATATTTCCATAGCTAGTATATGAGATGAACCAGATTGTTTAAGGTAGTCTGTAATGAATAGCATAAAGTTGCACAATTAAGAAAATAATACAATTGTTGAGGAAATAATATGTCACCCAAGTGGATTATTAGGAAATATTTAATTTCAATTGTATAATCTAATTATGGGCAACATACTATATACAATTATATTAGCTATTCAAATAATTAATGGACCCAATTAAGTAATCTAGATAAGTACAATCCATGGGCTACCTAAATTGATATGGGTTGATTGGGTGGTTCCTAATATTATCAGGGTCAGGTGATAATGGGTGACATACCCTAGTAGTATATAGAACTCCTATTGGTTATGGTTACCAACATACTAAATCAAACAAAGTTCTCTTTTTTCCCCATCGGAATTGAGAATGACAGTCCCATTTGAGGAATAAGGCGATTTAGTTGAGGAAAGCCACAAAACCGACCCCGTTCGTGATCGGGGACTTGTTTGTGATCCAAATCGTGCTCATGTCAATAGTCATAGAGATGAGATCCGAAGAGTGATGATAAGGTATTCTGCATCTAGACACAATCTCAATGGATCAGGTGTTCTTTATAATTATTGAATTTATATTATATAGGTGATTATAAATTCCTACAGTTTATACAAACATATTTTTTTTAACTAAGATACAATATTGATATAGAATATAGTACCTACTCAAGCCACTCAAGGGGACCAAGCAACTAGGTCGGTTTAACGAAGTAGCCCGATTAACTTCAACCAGGAGGACAATAGTCGAACCAGCTTTCGACCTTATCATGGAAGACCGAAAGGCCGAATCGACCATGTTCTATTTAACAGATAGGTAAGCTGAAGAGGGCCACAATCTACCCAAACAGGGATTCGACCTGGTGACGTGGATTGGGTCTCATAGGAAAACAAAGGGGTTTCTATCTTGGAAGCTATGCTATGCGGGGATTGGACCACGTGTCGATGTTATACTGGGTCGTCTGCACTCGATACCTAACATTGAGGCGCCGCAGGCGCTGCAAATCGTACGGACGGGCAGCAGGGACAGCTGGGTCAACTCTCCAGGCAAACTTGGAGAACAAGACAACATCGCCCTATATAAAGGATGTGGTAGGTTAGTTTTGAGGTTACATTCTCTACACACGTTCATACACTTATTTACTGTTCATTATCCTGGAGTAATATTGACTTAAGCATCGGAGAATCTTAATCGGAAAACCCTCCTTTCGGCATTTAATTCTTGTAGGTGTGGGAGCTATACGAGGTCGAACAAGAAGTTGTTGAGGTCGAGGAAGCCATTTCCTTATCACACTAGTCTGAATCAGAACCGGACGAAGTCTATTTCACTATTAAATATAAGTTTTTAATATTATACTTATTATCCGTATATATTTTAAAATACATGGTAAAATTTTACCATTATAATTGTTTTATAATAAACATTGTAGTCAAATCAAATTTTTTTGAATAGAAACTTTAAATTAATGACACTTATTTTGAAACGAGTATAACGTAATTTAGAAAAAATGAGGTACTACTCGAGTATTTTGAACTCAAAATTAAACGAGTCAACTTAAAAATAATGCCCAACTATATGTAGCAAGCAAGGGAGTGATCTATCCAAATGAGAAAGAAAACCGAATCCAACTGATAAAACTGAATCTGAAAAGTACCACCACCATGTCCATGTCCATCAGCACGCTATATATTATGACTTTGTTTCTTCCGTTGAAACTCTTGGTGATATATATTTCTATGCAAGTTGTAGTGAGACTTTCTTAAAGTGGTCACGAAAATTCATACTTCCCCGGATGTGAGCGCCCGTCACTCTCCAACCCTATAAGTAACAATAACAACAACAAAATATCTCCATAATTCTCAACAGCACTTGCACTTTTAAAAGCTAGCTACTCTCTCTTTTAGCCATACCCTAGGCTCTGCATGCGCTCGTATTACATAAGTGGCCAACTAGTTTCACATGTACTCACTCACTCGTGCACTCGCTTATATAAACCTCGGGTCATCTTAAAGAAGAAAGTAGAAACATATAGGCGATGATAATATGTGTCCCTATAGATATTTTCTTGTCTTTTTGGCTATCCCTTTATGCTTTTCGGGTCGTTTAGTTCAATGTAGGCCTTTCGAACACTTAGAAAAATTGTCAGATTATCGTGTAAGTTCCTATATATCGGCATCACCTTCTCCCTCTCCGGAGAACTATATATATGACGCTTCTCCCCAAATTTCATTGTCGGTTCCTCCCCAAATTTCATCGTCGGTTTTTAACGTCTTGTCTTATGGTGCGTTGGGTGATGGTATAAGTGATGATACGCTGGCGTTTAAAACAGCTTGGGACCTGGCTTGCCGAGCTGCTGCCCCTGCCGTTTTCCTCGTGCCCGGTCGTTACACTTTCTTGATCCAGTCCACGATTTTCACTGGCCCGTGTGGAAATGGATTAGTTTTTCAGGTAACGTCGATCGGCAGTTTCTTGCTAGTAGTCCAACGAGTTCCATTACTTTGTTTTTATAAACTGATGATCACATTATAATGCGTATGAGATTATATTTTTTGTCCCGTTAGATTGAAGGAAACATAATTCCACCGGACGGGCCCGGCTCATGGCCGAAAACATACAGTAAGAGGCAATGGCTGGTTTTCTATAGGGTAAATGGGATGACAATGCAAGGAGGTGGGGTCATTGATGGAAAAGGAGATAAATGGTGGAATCTGCCCTGCAAACCTCACAGGGTAAATTCATTCTTCTTTTCCAATACACGTGTCGATACATAATTTGTGAATAACTATGGATGACTCCATAAGCCGAACTATCCGATGGCTCCATAGCAAAACCGCTAGTTGTAGTGTTTTGTAAACGAACCCCTATTATGCATTCAAATTTCTAACTTTTTTTCTAGCATCATTTGACCAAGTACATACATTTTAATGAAATAGGGGGTCAATGGAACAACGGTACCTGGTCCATGCGACAGCCCAGTTGTACGTCTCAGACGCAAACTACTTCATATTAATTTATAAGCACCCAAAGTTTGTCTCACTTCTATTGAAAAAAAAAATATAAATAAATGTATTTTATGTATCCATTATTTTCAGGCTATAAGATTCTATGGGAGCTCCAATTTGACAGTACAAGGGCTAAAGATTAGAAACAGCCCACAGTTCCATCTCCGGTTCGACAACTGTGACAATGTCCGTATCGACTCTTTGTACATAAAATCGCCGGCCACAAGCCCCAACACCGATGGGATTCACATAGAAAACAGCAATGATGTGAAGATATATAACTCAATCGTTGCCAACGGTAACGCTAACAAAACAAACTCATTCGCAATTGCACTTTATAAATTGTATTGAGAGTTTGCAGTTGTTTTTGATGCAGGTGATGACTGTGTGTCCATTGGAGCAGGTTCATACAATGTAGACATAAGGAACATAACATGTGGTCCTAGCCATGGAATAAGGTACAAATATTTGTTCCAATTTCAAAACCTTAACTATAATAGGACCCCCAATTTTTTATTATTTTGGGTTTTGTAGGAATAATAATAATAATAATAATAATAATAATAATAATAATAATAATAATAATAATAATAATAATAATAATAATAATAATAATAATAATAATAATAATAATAATAATAATAAGGTAGTATTAGGGTCCAAAGTTGATATATTTCATATTTGGTTTGAGGCCCAACACACCCATATATACATGAACCTAAGTACTTGGTCCATTCCCTAGCCCATGTGCCTACTTGATTAGTTTACAAGAAAGTTGGGAAATTTTTATTGTATGACTCGACTTTTTGTTATTGTGTCACAATAAGGTCTGAATTTACAGTTTCTTCATATGAGAGTTTCTATTTTAAGTTATTCTCAATTTAAAACACCAACTAATTTTATATTTTTACATAAATATATAACCAAAATGCTAGTATTATTTTGAAATTTATTATTTTAAATAATTATAAATATCTTTTGAGGTGTGCCTCCCCAGCATCGGCAGCCTAGGCATGAAGAACTCGAGGGCGTGTGTGTCCAACATCACAGTCTCGGACTCTGTAATCACCCAGTCGGACNNNATAAAGACCTGGCAAGGCGGGTTCGGATCCGTCTCCGGAGTGGCATTCGCCAACATCCGAATGGAGAAGGTGCGAAACCCCATCATCATCGACCAGTACTACTGCGACTCAAAAGGCAGCAGATGCCCCAACCAGACGTCGGCCGTGTACGTAACCGGAGTCTCGTACACGGACATCAAGGGCACGTACGACCCGCGTGGCCCGCCCGTGCGATTCGCGTGCAGCGACACGGTGCCGTGCACGAACCTCACGCTCCGCGCAGTCGAGCTGTCCCCAGCAGCAGGCATTGGCAAGGCCGGTCGGTGGGGCGCCCCATTCTGCTGGAGTGCGTACGGAGATGACGGGAAAGTCCTATGCCTGGCCGACGGGTTGCCGGAGTTGTTGCCGGCGAGTGATGCCAACAAATGCTGATTTAATATATAGCAGATCAGATCTTATGTAGGTGTGTGTGCGTGCTTGTATTAAAGAAAATCTTGGCATGTTTGTTCCAGAGCAGCTGGAGTGATATAAAAACTCTGAGTGCTGCCTCTACTGCCAATTTATCTTTGCCCAAATTAATATGTTCTGTTTTATACCAAAACGCCTTCTCTTGTTGTATATAGAAGGTTGGCTCCACTATAGAGCCAACCGTTGGCTCCATAGCAAACCCTATAACCAATATTCTAATATTTGGTAGGTGTTTTTGACTGGGGCCTAGCGCTTATAGCGTCTAGGCGGGAATTATGCGGCGTCGAGGTATTAATAAATTTATTTATATTATCGTCATTGTTAATTTATAAAATGTATTATATACTTTTTCGATTATTCTCGATACTATTTAAAAATATATTAATTAATATAGTGTTATGCAAAAATTATGAAAAATCTAATGCATTCATAATTATATTAATATTTTTTATTGTATAATTAATATAAATTTTATGTGTAAAAATTAACATTATTTTTATTTTTGAAGAAGTAAATTTAAAAATTTTGAAAAAAAAAATAAAAAAAAAAATATATGGGTGCCTATATACTGCCAAAACCGCTTAGACGTCTGCTTAGAATGCCTAACCCACCCAGGCAACGCCTAGCCTCCTAGACACCGTCTAATCGGTCGAGCGCCTAGGATGACCGCCTAGGCAAAAGTCGTGGCGTTTAGGTGCCGCTAGCGATTAGGCCGATTTTTAAACAAAGATTATAAGTGTTGGAATATATATAAGGGTTGATTCAAATAAAAATTAGTCATGGTGTGAGAACTGTAAAAATCGTATTTGATGCTATTTTTAATAATGTATAATGCAATTTTTTAATTGGGCTCCACGTATATGGGTCTGGCCAAGCCCACTCCATTCATATATAATACGGTCATCTCACTAAAGTAATGTTATTGAATACCCAATTTAATTTCCAAATTACAATTTGAGCTCCATTTATAATTACTTTTTTTTTTGGTACAGGGACCTTCTGGTTTTTGGATCCACAGGGGAACCGACTAATTCGGAATTGAGTCGGGTAGGACCACAAGGGCGGCAAAGCTCTCCCTCAAGAGTTTTAACACTGCTGCATTCTCAGGGCTCGAACACGATCCATTTATAATTACTTTAATTACCTCTCCATCTTTAAGATATAATATTTTTCAATTAATTTAATTATTGACAATCAAATTAATCGACATTTTGAACCGAAACTAATACCACTCAAACCATTACTATTATGTTAGAACTCCAACCACCTACGTAGTTTAACATATCCTTCATGAGTTCACTTCAAAGACATCATCAGACTAACGCATTTTATGAACGTAAATATTCAAACAGCACACCATGCATGCAGCATCACTACCCAACTCTCCCATGCTATTAGCCTAGACAGAATGAACCTCACAAAACAGTCTCTACTAAGCCAAACCTCTCAAGCTGTATTATATGTTAAATAACAATTGTGATTTTTGTTAATTACATCAAAATCAATATATTACAACGCTAGATAACCAAAAACCGTACAAGAAAATTTGTTACTAAGAAATACAACTAGAAATACCGATACAAAAGAAACCACAAATCAAATACACAACAAACCTTTTAATCACTCCAACAGACAATTCATCAACATAAAAGTGTGTTACTTTCTTACACTTTTATCTTTTCTGAAAGTTCCACTTGGCAATGCAGTATGTGAATATTGAGGCAAAGGCAATTGGGTACATGATCAAAATCACAGCAACTGCAGGCAGCATACTGTGTCTGTACCCGAAATAGTCCCTCACAAAATCAGAGATTGGCCTCTGCCGTCCGAACACCTCGATCTCCCTATCGACATCACCAAACTGCGAATTCAGCAGCCCGTTCAGAGACCATGAAGTCGGCGAGATATAGTAAAACCACACCCACCACTTCGGAATTTGCTGCCATGAACACAAAAATAACCCTTTTTAGTATCCATATTTGATCTTTTTGTTTATTGTTCTTTCTTTCTTATATGTTTGTGAGTCGGGAGAATGAGTTACCGGGCGAGGGATCAAGAATCCGGAGAAGAGGTTGAGCAGTGTGTAAAACGACGACTGTAAAATGGCGGCTACTGGGAAGCTTGGTGTAATGGCGATCAACATCATCCCCAAGTATGTGAAGTAGAGCAAAGAGCAAAACATGGTGTAGAAAAACCAGAACACTTTGTAGGCCGTCCAGCTGTACCCGATCATTGGATACGTTATGACCGTTATCGCAATTGTCTGTGCCAAGATGTACGGGATCTCGACTATCACCTGAAAAATCATCAGAGCTTCAAAAACTGCAGATAATTTTGCTAACCAATGGGTAATTTTATTTTGAACACATATACCTGCGCGGTTGAATAGGCCCACGGAGAATACATGCCCGCAAATTGTTCTCTGTAAACGACAGTTCTCTCGATGTTGACATACGACAAAATCGAGGAGGCATTGTTTATGCCGCAAAAGAGAGTGGAGCTGTACATGGATCCGAGCAGAGTAAACAGGCCTTGCTGATTATGCCTATAGAACAAATGCACAAAGAGGAGGAGAAAAATGTTAAAGAGAAAGCAGAGCAAACAAGCATTTGTCTTGAGACAAATTTTATTTATTGGTTTGCTTACACGTCTCGCGCCTGACCCCAGAAGAGGGCGCCGTAAAGGAAGGACGCAAAGAGCATGTGGAGGGAGCGCATGAGGTTGTACGAAGGGCTTCGCCAGTAGGACCAATGCTGTTTCCAGAGGCAGGTTTTGAACTGGACCCACCCATTTTGTGCATAACGGGTCGGAAAATGCAGGCCTTTCGACCCTGCTGGTGGTCGGCTCAGTTGTTTCACCAGCTCCAAGTTATTTCTTTAACAAATTTAAAGAAAAAGGGTTGAAATGAAAACAAGTCGTCGACAAACATGAAAATGGAAAAAAGTATCAAATGGCGTTGGTGCTAGGACTCACTCGTGCAAAGCAGAATTCTTGTAAATTTCGGCAAAGTCTATGCCGAGTTCAGCTTCCACGGAAGTCGAGCTGACCTCCATCATCCATGTGGCAGGATTGTAGTTATCTTTGATTTTCGGCACACCAGGTATGCACTAACACAGTTAAAAAAAAGTAAGAGATATATAACAATCTGAGTTCTGATAAAGAAAGATAAATGCTACAAACACATACACACCCAAAAGGCTATTGATCTCACCTCAAAATATTCTATCAATCTAGATGACTGCAAACCCACAGGCCCACAATAGATAATCCGGCCCCCAGGCTTCAACAGCACCACCTGTTGTTCATAACTCCGGTAAGTCTATCCTTGAACCGACTAAGACAACTTTCACAATGACAAGAAAAAACAAAAAGGAAAACAACCTCGTCAAAAGCCTCAAATATATCAATGCTCGGCTGGTGAATTGTGCAGACGATCGTGCGGCCCGTGTTGGCAACATTCTTCACGGCCCGCATGACGATAGCAGCTGCCCTTGCATCCAGCCCAGTAGTGGGCTCGTCCATGAAAATGATAGACGGGTTGGCCACAAGCTCCACCGCAATCGTCAGCCGCTTCCTTTGCTCGGTAGACAGCCCAGACACGCCAGGCAGTCCCACCAACGCGTCTTTTATCTCGTCCAGCTCAATTGTTTCCAGCACCTCCCTCACAAAATTCTACAAAACCACCACAAACAAAAATCAATAAACATGAAAAATATTAAAAATTATCCGGATGAAGAATTTTGTCATACATATTTTGTTTTTGTGTCGATGGATGCATTGAGGCGGAGCCATGCGGAGAAGATGACGGACTCCTCAACTGTAATGTTGGGAGAGTGAATATCGGTTTGCTCACAGTAGCCGGAAATACGGGAAAACGTGCTCTGGACTTTTGGGTACCCTCCGATTTTAATATCACCCTCGACGATACCGGTTGTTTTCCTGCCGGAAAGCACGTCGAGAAGGGTGGTTTTTCCTGCACCACTAACACCCATGAGAGCTGTGAGCACTCCCGGCCTGAATGCGCCTGTTATGTCACAGAGCAGCTGAAGCTTCTTCTGGGTGAAACCGCGCTCCTTCATCGCCTGTGTGCAGGATTTTAACATCAATATATTATTCACATTTGCATTCTAATATAGAAAATTAATATGGGGATTTTTTTATTTTTTTGTTACCGCAGGGGTATCGACGTAGTACTGCACGTCTTGAAACACCAGACTTAGTGGCTCAAAGGGTAAAATCATTTTTGCTGCGAAAGAACATCAGAGCTTGGTAAGTAAAAATTAATAAGGCAATAGCAATAAAAGATAAGAGTTATCTTACTCGAATGAGATTTTGCAATGGCAGAAACTCCGGAACGATCTTCTGGACGAGGTTTGTCATCTGGTTGTACGGTCCCTCGTAGCTGAGAGAGTTTTTCACTTGATATAATGACGCGGGAACTGAGAGCTGGTTCAAATAATTGGAAATTAGTTATTTACCAAATTCTATTTACATATTCAAAGTGCTATGTCGACGAAGTAGACACAATTAATGGAATGAGCCTTACGTTTTGCGAAGGTTAAGGCCAAGGTAAATCCAGTATTGAAGAGAAATGCTATTCCTAACAAGGCTGCAGCGGATATCCAAAAGAACTCTCCACCAAAGTTTAGCCCACGATTCTCTAGCGTTCGATGCCCGATCGTTGTATTCCCAGGCAGCTCCTTTTGTGCAAGCAAAATTATTTATAAACATACATTAGCACAAGTTCATGTCCTGATCTCAATGCGAATGACGAAACATATGTAACAATGCAAAAAATCAAATGGAAAAGTTTTATAAGACCCATAACATGTGACTATTACACTCCCCAAATATAATGGGTACACAAAAACAAAGATAATTTTGTTACACTGCATCATAAAACCATAAAAATATGCACTGACCCTTTGCCATCTTGGTGCCAGAAATTCATTCACAGTGAATCCTATCTGGCCATACGATAGCGGAGAAATCCAGAAAGCCCAATTTAACCAATCCGGCATGGATGCTGCAATATTGTTTAGAGAGTGAGTGAACATAATACATTATAATTTACTCATGGATGTCTTAGTTGACATGATCACATAACATGCAGATGAATTAAAATGATCGGATATGAAAAACTGACTGACGTACGTTTAGGGATCAGAAAGCCACTGAACATCATAGCAAACAACAACGACATGCTGCCAGCTGTCGATGCCGCCACATCACTCCGGAATACTGTCGCCAAGAAACGGAACATCGACGTTGTTGTGAAGTGCACCAGAAATACCATCAACATCTGGCGGAAAAACCTAAAAAAATTGAAATAAAATAAAAGTTACACATAAACATAAAACATCAAATATATATCTGATAAAAACCAGTGCAAGTCGACTAACCTCCCAGCCTCGGGAGTGTATCCAATGACGTAGTACGTGAGACACGTCCACACCAGAGCTTGCAACAACGAGAGAGGAATCTTGAGAATGCTAGCTGGGATAGCAAATGCCCAGGCAGGGTAAAAGTAAAAGTCCCTCTGTTTGTAAAATACGCCAAGCCTACGAACAGTCATGAAAAGCTCTGGTATACCGTCCACCAAAAGAATAACGAGCGTGTAAAACAGAGCTCCCAAGTAACTGTTGGCGTGGATAATGTCTACACCCAATTGCGTCCTCAGGAACACAGTCATGGCAATAGATGCAATCAACATAAACTGAATAGCAACCCAAGAAACAAAAGTAAATAACTAAATGATGATATTCATGCACATGACATCAATCATCATAAGTAAAAATAGGCGCATTATTATTTGACTGAACCTGGAATGCTTTGAATATGTAGACGAATGAGTTCCTTTTGAAAAGGAGAACCTCTCTGGACATGCAGGCCTTGAACAGCGGCCATTTAGGGATGGAGTATTTGCTAAAGCTGATTGCACTCGGGTGGCTCATTGCCTTATTAAAGGGCACGGAGAGCTCATCCTGTAGCTTCTTTCCAAGGGCCGACTCCGTAAATTTTCTCGAGAGCATGTCTACGGAAACATAACTGTAAGTCTGGGCCGCGTCATGCCAGTATTGCTCTTGATCTTTCCGAGACATAACCTATTTAATTGAAGAAGAAAACAAATAAATAACTATTCATGATGACTATTCATTATTGAGCTTGCTTGTATGAGCAGACTCGCCTCCTGAAGGAAATCGGCGATCCCTTTCCTCTCGGGGCACCTGAAGCCGCAGCTCCTGAAAAAGGCAAGGATGTCCGCACGGGGCCCGTGGAAGACGATTTTTCCCTCGCCCATGAGGATGATGTCGTCAAAGAGGTCAAAAGTCTCGGGCGCCGGCTGGAGGAGGGAGACGAGTATGGTGGCGTCCGTGATATGGGCCACCTGCTGGAGGCACGACACAATCTGGTAAGTTGTCGAGCTGTCGAGCCCGTTCGATATCTCGTCCATGAACAGGGCTTTCGTGGGCCCCACAAGCATCTCGCCTGAAAAAAAAAAAATGAGGACTGGTCCTATCAGCAAAAATGATTTTCATATTTGTTTTTTCATTTTGCATTTGTAAAAAAAGAGTACAAAATTGAGTTACCTGTTGTTAGTCTCTTTTTCTGGCCACCGGAGATACCTCGCCTCATGTCGTCACCATAGAGCGTGTCGGCACAAATGTCAAGGCCGAGAATCTGAAATTAAAACATTTGGATTGTGATTAGCATACAAAGTGCTGTAGAAGTAAAAGTAGTCTTAGAATAAATGCATCTAGGGGAAAAAATATATATATACTTTCAAAATGTACTCTGTCTGCATGGTGGTCTTCTGTCCTTCCACAGATATTGCCTGCACAAATTAAGCAGATGATAGTTAGGACAGAGCAATAACCAAGAATATAGTTAGAAAGAGCGAACTAAATCAAAAATTTTACGGGGAGAAAGATACCTTCATGAAAGTATCTACATCAGGATCAGGAATAACTTTGGCTTCTTTCTCCCTTCTAACAACCTCAACCAGTATTTCTGAAGGAAAAATAAGGAAGATATCATATCATCTAGGTTCCATTAATTTAAATAACTTTTTATATTAAAGTCGAAACTTTTTCTTCTGTGTTTGATTTGAAGTTAATACCTGCCCTGCTGCCAATACCCTGACAATGTGACGAAAAATCGATTGTTTCACGGACCGTCATTTCAGGGGCATGCAGATCATATTGACCTATGTAAGCCGACGTTTTCTGAGGTATAAACTCCTTGAGTTTAAATCCGTTGTATGTGATCTCCCCAGTTACCTTTTAAAAACGACAAAAGAAAACTATTCAAAAGATGATACAACTGATTCAGACGGCTCTCCAAACTTCTTAAGTTAGTGTAAGCAAAATGATCCTTGCATCATTTACTATGTTTTATAATTAGATCTTTGTTTTCTTGCAAATTAAGGACACTACATATATAGGCACCTTGAGTGACTTGTCCAAATTTCCCGATAGAGCTTTCAAAAGTGTAGTCTTCCCACATCCTGGCGGACCCAGTAATAGAGTTATTCTGCAAATCAAAATGACATACAGAACTAAGCAAAGAAAAAAAAAATCAAAATATGACGGAAAATTGGACGAACAAAACTAGAATATACTCGACTTTTTTCGAATCGAAAGCAACTGAACAGCACTAGCCACTAGATGAACTTTTTTCTACTCAATTCTTCCTACATAGAAGCTGGGGATCAGTTTTTGTTAAGAATTTGCAAACACACTACTGAAACACGGTTTTAATCACTGACGCATACGTAAGCAACCACCATCGTCCAAAAATATAAAAAGTCTGCAGTGTAGATGAATGACAGAAGTTGAACTATTGATTCAAAATATGAATATTTCATAAAAAGCAGTTGTTTGAGGGCAAACATGGTTGAAGCCACTCTATTTTTTACAACTCCTCAAATTTTACCTCCCAGGCTTAAGGACACCACTAACACCCTTAAGTATGTCTATGTGGGCATCTTGAGATGGCAAGCCAGGCAGCCGACCAATATCCTGTGAACAAAACAACTTTTCTAGTTAATATGAATTTGAAAATGTCAAAGGTGGTCATCTGTGAGACCATCTCTCTTCCCTCTTTCACCAAACAAAGAAATTAAAACTTCGTAATTCGACACGAATTTACAAAAATACGTCGATTTGCTCGATAACAACAGTATACTCGTTAATATACCAATGATCACATCCAAATTGAACTTTTAACATGTATGCTGCTTACCATAACCAAGCTCTTGAAAGAATTCCAAAGCGTCGGGAGGGGCTTCCCATCAACAACCTGACACTTCGCCTCTACACGCAGATTCGAGTATCTAACTTCGATCGTCGGAAGTTTTACGCCAACTCTACAAAAAATAAAAATAAAAATAAATAAATAACTCAATTTCATGGTAGATCTTTGTTTCTCTTTATCTATTGTTCAAATCGATATATATTTTTTTAAGAAAAAAAAATTAAGTTGAGTGTAATGCCTGTCAATCCTCCTCCTCATCTTGTGCAGCAGCTTGAGGTTGTCGTGCTCGATGTGTCTGATGAGCTTCTCCACGAACATTTGGCGCTCGCTGGGCCCGAGCTTGGTGACGTCGACGACTGTTTTTCCTCCGGTACCGTCGCCGTCAAAAAGGGAGGCCCTGAGGCGGTCGTAGGTTGGCAGGCGGTCGAGGGCCGCCCACTCAGCCGCGGCCTCCTCATCGAGCTCGTGCCTCGCCGACCCAAAAGCCGAGTTGCTGCGGCGCAGACTCGGCCCGCGCCTCAAAGACGATCTCAGGCTTCTTCCTAGCTCAGCTATGTCATCTCCACCGATTAGCTGAGCCATTGCTGCTCCGTTTTTTGTTTTTTCGAATTTTAGAGCAACATGATGGATGATATTGGATCTTTATTTTTGACCTGGATGTGAAACGGCACGAAAGTTGACTGGGAAGGTGTTTGTAGCCAACCTTCTAAAGTAAATTTGCTAATAATATAAAAGAAAATGCTACGGTACCGTTATGAAACTATTCCGTCAAATTTGTAACTATTATATCATTATGTAATTCTCGAAAATAGTTAATTTAACGATTATAAATTCGGACAAAATGGTCCTTCATAATAGATCGTAGCATCTCCGTAATATAAAAAATAATATAAAATGAGAGGGTCGCGTAATAAAGTAATAATAAAATGGCTAGCGGATCAAGTGGGGAATAATAATAATATAAGAGAGGGTGGGAAAATGAGACTTTGGAAATTCAGTCGCGGGATCATTTTTTTTTTTTGAATTATTTTTATTTAATTTTATATATGGGTTATGGGTTATGAGTATATTTTAGATTAGATTAAATTCTGCAGACGGGCTGGCTGGCCTGGTGATTTATTGAATCCGTGGCTAGAAATAAAATGATGTCCACTTGCTTGTAGGCAACAAACTTTTCTATTTTCCTATTTCCATTTGATATATTAAAAAAAGAGATTGTTTGGGAAAATGCATTTTGGGTAGAGAATGGTTGGATAAAGTGTCGTGTGTTTAAAAAATTATGTACCATCTCCATCTATTTTACTCGACTCTAATGCTCTACTATATACTAGAGTAAACCAAAATATCTATTGGTCTCCGACATGGACGAAGCCAGAAAATTAGTTGAGAGGGAGAAAAGACATGACATATTAGGTTCAGAATCGATATCGAACTGATAATGTTTCGGTAACTGATTTTCGGTTACTATTACATATAAGTCGGTTCGATTCGGTTCGGTTTGTTTTCCACCGATTCGGTTCGGCAATAAAAGAGAGTTGAAAATCTTTTATATGGGTCAATCAAAATTGTGGGAGGATAATAATTAACATACAAAATTAAAAGTAAAATAAAAGAAGTGTTGAATTGTTAATTGACAATTGTGGACAAGTTGGCAGTAATGCTCACCTACCCACAGTGGGCACATGTTAATATGCCCACCGTTATGTGACATGCACAAATATTGGTGATGTATTTTTTTGAACATATTAACATCACCAATGTGTGCATGCCACATAAGCGGTGGACCTATTAACATGTGTCCACTGTGGATAGAGGAGCATTATCAGACAAGTTAGTCAAGTGAGTGACGTTTGAAAAAACAAATCAGGGGTGCAAAAATAAATTTAACGGGAGGAGGGGTGTAAATTAAATTTGTAATATTATTAGTAAAAAAAGTTAACTTTTGAGAGGGGGGGGGGGTTATCACTACATGTAAATTCGCCCCTGGTCTCCAGTCGTCTGTGTTATATTTTACTCTACATTAAATATATTATTTTTATTCATTTTTTATTTCCAATAAATTCTAACAGATATGTATATTTAAATTTTAAATAAAAAAACATATGTTCAGTATATTTTCAAGTCAGTCGAATTTTAATCATGTTGTGTTTGTTTATGTATTTTATGATTTATGTGTGTTGTAAAATTTCATTTTAATGAAATCTACTTAAGTTATTGTGGTCATTTTCTATTCATTTTAAAATAACTGCAAAATCAAATTATTATACATCACCACATAAAAAAAGACAAAGTTATTTAACATAATAAAGGCATTTACTGCTGCCATAACTGACGCAACATTGCACGTACACCTAGCGATGGATTGGAGAAGATTTTATCTCCACTCTCGCGCAAGTCACCACATCTAGAGATGCGCTAGAGTTGGTTTAAATAGAAGATATATGTCTCTCATCTTTATATATAATTAGTACATAACCCGTACGATGCACGGGTTGTATAATTTTGAAAAATAATATAATTTCACATGCATTATGATCGTAAAACAAAATTATTAACATACATAGGAACATTATTGAATCATAAAATATTTGTGACTTCACAATCATATATTAAACTCTTTGTACACAACATTATGAGTTTGATTATTTGGTAACTCCTCATTATCACAAATTAATATTTCCAACCTCCTTCTATTATTTACACGTGAAACAACAACATATAATTGGTCGTGACTAAAAACATATTTCTTCAGGAAAAGACCGACGTGCGATAAAGACTGTCCATGACTCTTGTTTATGGTCATGGCATACAAAACCATAAGTGGGAACTGCCGCCGCTGGAACTTAAATGGAATCCTAGTATCGAATGGATATTCATCCTAGGAATCAAGACCTTCTCGACAGCGTGATCTTCAATCAATATCTTGCATTCGAGAACATGAGTAGAGAGCTTAGTCACAACCAATCGAGTACCATTGCACAGACCCATAGAATGGTCAATATTGCGCAACAACATTACTGAAGTTCCTATCTTCAGGTGCAACTCATGGAGGTTGTTACTTGGACTCTACCTATAATTTAAATCGAATTGAACAAACAAATTATCCAAAGACAACACTAAACATTAGAATAAATAATTAGACCGGAGATTGGTACGCACGTGAGTACTCTATTGCACGTGCAAATTGCATTATTAGAACTCAAGGCTGACCAGTTTGTTCGTATTGACTCTCGAAAGCCAAAAGCTCGTCTACATACTCTCCCCATACAGTGTAGCTAATCAAGTTCTCACTGCAAATATAAAAAAACATGTACATATAATTCGAATTAAAGCACATAATTATGATGTACGTAATGTGGTCGTATATATATTTAAATGTATATTATACGATTTTTCATTAAAAAAATATCAAGTACTTACTTCAAATCCATCAGAATGAATGTCACCATTTGTGTATCACCTTTTTTCACTTGTTTTCAACACTTGTAACATCAATTACTACTCCAATTATATCTGCATATATAATCTTTCATTAATTTATATATTTCAATTAACACACGTCTATAGAGAAATGTAATAATATTAAGTAACAAATATATATTCTATTAACTCACGTATATTC